AAAAAAAAAAAAAAAAAAACTACCGTGTGAAAGATGGGACACGATGATCTCAGGCTTTATATATGTATATATATTATATATATAAGCTTACCGCGGTGGCATGTCTCGTCCGCGTACATTACCGCAAAAACCTGAGGAAAAAAAAAAATCCGGACATAGGGCGCACGTTTGTGTCACTTTAACCGAATGTCACGGACAGTGGCGTCCCTGGAACTAACCCGTGCTGTCCGCGCACGTTGCCGGTTGCCTTTGTTTATCCTAGACTCGTTTTATTCTTCCTTTGTTTGGTGTATGTTGTTGATGTTTTTGTCGCAGCCAGGTGAGGGCGTGGTCGGCGACAGCGATTAGGGACTCGTTCATTAAATTAACTCGCGTCAGTTCATTAAATTAACCCTGGCGCATCCGAGTGCTTTTTCCCACCTCTTTTCTTTATTTTTTGCTGTTTTATTGTTTGCTTTTTTTGTTTTGTTCTTGTGCCCGTCTTACGATGTTCACGGCAGTTTTGTATTATCGTTTGATTTTGAACGCGTGAGGACAAAAAAAGAAAAAGGATGCCCTTGATGATGCGTGATATATGAACCTTCGTGAAGCTTTCGTCTGAGCTTGCCATTAATTCTAGGGTATTGAGTGCACATTTATGGGCGGTTCTTCTCTGTCACGACCAACTTTGAAAAAACACATTCAGGCAGCAGGGTACAAAAAATAGACTGGCTCAGCTAACCAATAGGTGTCTTTAAGACATACTTGAAGTTGCAAAAGTGTCAAGGGGAAGTTCCGAGAACGGCCTTAACTTCGGGTTCTAGAAGGGCCCGCATTTTGAACCCTAGAGGGGTGTTTTGGGCCCCAGAAAGGCCCTTACTTTGGAGCCTAGAATGGATCGTAGCTTGGAACTCATTATGATTTTACTTTAAGGCCCAGTGTAAGGCTCTAACTTTGGGTTCTAAAGGGGCTCGTAATTTGGAGGCCAGAGGGACATCTAGCTGCGTGACCCAGAAAGGCTTTTACTTTGGGGCCTGGAACGGCTCGTAGTTTGCAACCCAAAAAGTCTTTACTTTGGGGTCCAGAAAGGCTCTAACTTTGAGTTCTAATAGGACAAGCAATTTGGAGCCCGGAAGGGCCTCTTATTTTGGGACCCAGAAAAGCTCCTACATTGGGGCTGGAATAGCATGGTACCTTGGGACTCAGAATAATTTTACTTTAGGGCTAAGAGAGACCAACTTTAGTTTCTAGAAGGGCTCGTAATTTAGTGCCTAGAAGGGTTTCTTGTTAGTGGCTCATACTTCGGGATACAAACGGATTCTATTTTGGGGCCGAGAAAGGTTCTTTCTTTGAGTTCTAGTAGGGCCAGTAATTTGGAGCCTAGAAGGACCTCTAACTTTGGGACCAAGAAACGCTCTTACTTTGGGGCCTGGAATAGCTGGTACCTCGGGACCTAGAAAAATTTTATTTTAGGGCTCAGAAAGATTTACTTAGGTTTTCAGAAGGGCTCGTAATTTGGAACCTGGAAGGGTCTCTGAATGGCTTGTACTTCTGGATCCTGAGGAATTTTAGTTTTGGGCCCAGAAATGCTCTAATGTTGAGTATTGAAAGGGTTAGTAATTTGGAACTTAGAAGGGTTTTTTACTTTGGGACCCAGAAAGGCTCTTACTTTGAGGCCTGGAATAGCTGGTACTTCGGGACCCATAATAATTATACTTTAGGGCTCAGAAAGACTTTAACTTTGGTCTCAAGGGCTCGTAATTTGGAGCTTAGAGGGGTCTCTTATTGGCTAGTACTTGGGGATACGGAAGGATTTTAACTTTGAGTTTTAGAAAGGCTAGTAATTTGAAGTATCTTACTTTGGGACCTATAAAAGCTCATCTTTTGGGGTCTGGAATAGCTGGAACTTCGAGACCCAGAATAATGCTACTTTAGGACCCAGAAAGACTAACTTTGGCATTCAGAAGGGTTTGTATTTTGGAGCCTCTAAGGAGGCTGTTAGGGGCTCGTACGTAGGGACACAGAGGGATTTTAACTTGGGGCCAAGAAAGGCTGTAGCTTTTGAGTTTTATAAAGGCTAATAATTTACTTTGATACCCCAAAAAGCTCTTACTTTGGGGACTGGTATAGCTGGCACTTCGGGACCCAGAAGGATTTGATTTTAGGCTCAGAAAGACTAACTGTGGTTTCCAGAAGGGCTCGCAATTTGGAACCTATGAAGGGTCTCTTTGTGGCACGTACTTCGGGATATAGAAGGATTTTAACTAGGGGCCATGAAAGACTCTAGCTTTGAGTTCTAGAAGGGCTAATAATTTGGAGTTAAGTAGGGCCCTTAGCTTTGCAACCCCAAAAATGCTCTTACTTTGGGGCCTGGTGCAGCTCGTACTTTGGGACCCAGAAGGATTTTATTTTAAAGCTCAGATATACTTTAACTGTGGTTTCCGGGAGGACTCTTAATATGGAGCCTATAGAAGGGTTTTCTAGTGACTCGTACTTCGGGATACCGAAGGATTTTAACTTGGGGCCCAGGACGTCTCTAACTTTAGGTTCTACATAACCCATAATTGCGAGCCTAGAATTTTGTACCCAGAAAGGATCTTACTTTGGGGCCTGGAATGGTTCGTACTTTATTACCAAGACGGATTTAACTTTGGGGCATTCGAAGGATTGAGCTTCGAGTTCTGCAAGGGACCGTAATTTGGAGGTTAATAGGGTCTCTTGTTTTGGGACCCAGGAAGGCTTTTACTTTACGGCAGAGCTTATACTTTTGCACCAAGACGGAGTTTACATAGGGGCCCAGGGAGGCTTAAACTTAGGGTTTTTATAAGGCTCGGAATTTGAAGCCTTGTATGACATGTGTGACACCCAGAATGGCTCTTACTTTTGAGTATAGCTCTTATTTTGGGGCATAGGTTTACGTTGGGGTATTGCTCGTACTTTGACATCCACAAAGATATTAGTTTAGGCCCCAGGAAGGCTCTAACTTTAAATTTGAGGGGGCTCGTAATTTAAATTTCGAAGCCTTTCATATCCCCTTACAATGAAACGAAGAAAGGATCTTATTTTGGGGCATGGCTCGTACTTTGGTGTCCAAAAGGGTTTTAGTTTGGGGCCCAGGAAGGCTCTAACTAAGTTCTAAAAGGGCTCCTAATTTGAAGCCCTGTACGGCCTCTCATTTTGAAATCCAATAAAAGGCCCCTTCCTTGGGGTATGAATTGTACTTGGGCACCAAAGAACTTAGTGTGGGGCCCAGTGAGGCTCTAACTTTGGGTTCTAAAAGGGCTCGTAATTTGAAGCCTTGAATGTACCCTCAGTTTGAAACCCAGAAGGACTCTTAGTTCGGGGTATGTCTCCTACTTTGGGGGTTGGCTCGTACTTTGGCACCCATAGGGATTTTAGTGTGGGGTTCGTGATTTGATGGTTTTTATGGCCTCTTACTTTAAACTCAGAAAGTATCTTTGGGGTATGGCGCGTACTTTGGTACCCAAAAGGATTTTGGGGCCACAGGCAGGCTCTAACTGTGGGCTGTAAAATAGCTCGTAATTGGAGCCTTGTATGACCTCTTATTTTGAAACCCAGAAAGGCTGCTTAGAGTATTGGCCGTACTTTGGCACCCAGAAAAATTTTCGTTTGGAGCTCTGGAAGTCTAACTTTGGGTTCCAAAAAGGCTCGTAATTTGAAGACTTGTATGGCCTCTTTGAAACTCAGAAATGCTCTTGCTTTGGGGTATATGGCTCTTACTTTTGGTACCCAGAGAATTTTAGTTTTGGGCCCAGAAAGGCTTTAACTTGCGGTTCTAGAATCAGGCTCGCGCTTTGGAGCATTAGAAAGGCCTGGACTCTGGAACTCAGGAAGGCTTAAACTTTGAAGTCCACACAGGCTGGTGCTTTGGGCCTCAATAATGCTGGTTCATAAGGGTTTAAGAAAACAGAACTTAGGTCGAATGATTTACATACGTGGTGCTTTACGAAGATGCATTTCGGCCCTATAAAGAGGGTTACATTCAATTCTTGCATTGCTGGGCTGCACTATATATGCAGCAAAGCCAGACCTTTTAGCTATGCTTTTGCAAATCTCGCATGGACCTCGGACGCACCTGTCCCGACCCACCGGACACCATTTAGTTTGGCGGCACATGAAAGAAATTAAAATAAGTTGAGGAAGCATGATAATTTTCCTCAATGTAAAATAATTTGTATCCAAGCTATTTTTTTTTCTTTTACAAGGCTTGTAATCTTGTAATCTTACAAGATTGTTGATCTTATTTTAGTTAACGTTGCATGTGGTTTCTATGTGCAATATTAAATGTGCAACCGGTTTGCATGAGTTCATGATATTACTCTGTATATGTTGTTAGCGTCATTAATTGATTGATTTGGAAGATGGGTATACTGTGCAAGACGTAGAGAAACAATGACAGCCGCTGACTTTGATAAGTTTCATTGTTGTATCTTTCGTTGCTTTCGTTGGTTTTCGGGTTATTTTGGATTATACCCGAGTTATAACTGTTGTATTTTTTGCATTCTGTTGTATACTCTCGCTTTGCTGCTTTTGATGAGTGAACAGAGACGCGCGAGCGTTCTCCCGCGCTTCATTTTGTTTAGCACATTGTCGTCGGCGGCCACTTTCCTTTTCCCACCGCGAGGGGGAGACAACTAGAAGAAAAAAGAGGCGGAGGAGGAAATAACTGCGGAGAAAGAAGGGGACAGACGAACCACGCCCTCCATTGGTTCCCGTTACCACCACCAGACGCCGACAGCGGCGCGACGAGCAAAGAAAAAATATATTGAAAGGGGAGGAGGAAACGCGAAGTCAGTCACCTCCTCTCCACCGCACTCCGCCCCTCTTTCCACCCTCTTATTCCTCGAATTTCCTCTCTCCTCCTCCTCTTCTCGCGTAGCGTGGCGCGGCGAGATTGGGGCGGGGCCGCAACGAAAGAAAAGCACAAAGATGGCGCCCGCCCACCAGGGCTCCGCCCCAGCGCCTGCAAACGCGTGCGCCGTTCTCTCATTGTGTGCCGGTACTCTGGGTCGGCAAACAGTTTGTTGTGGTGTGAAGCGCGCGGGCTGCTGCTGCCGGTTTTCGCAGCGGCCGCTTGTGCCAACAAACGGTCGGTGCCGTCCCCTCCCTTGACGGATTCGAAAGCGACTAGCCCGCCCGCCCTAGGTGCCACCATCGGCGGTGGTCGTTGTCGCCACCGTGCTTTCGGTTTCTTTTTTCTTTCTTTCTGCACCGTCGGTCACCATCGGCTACTTCAACCATTGGCGCAGCACGTCAACGCGTTGTTACTTTGGACGGCTGCGTGTCGAGCCATGGACTGGTTGGAAGACTGTCGCTTCAACGCGCGCTCCAGGAAGAAACGTGTGTGATCGTTGTACCAACTTCGGCGGCTCGGACCAAATTTGGATTCGCTGACGCGCAAGGCGCGTCTTCACGTTCTGGCTGCATCATGGCTCTCCTAGGGCGAGGGGTGAGTGAGATGTTGCCTTTTTTACGATTGGACAGACTGCTGCGAGACAGATGGGAAAATATGGGTGTAAGATGGCTACAAAACGAATGAACAGTTACTCCCTCGCTCGCTATTTTCATGCAAGGTTTTCCTTCTTTCTAGAACAGTGGGTTGCATAGTTTTCTTTACATTATGAATGGCTAGTTGAATACTTGTCTATGAAAGCAGGCGTGACCCTGTTAAGAAAGGAAGAGCGTAAATGATAAATATATCTGAACAAATGCGCTCGTTGATACATTGCAAATGTTTCTTTTTATACAGTTGTAGTTGCTTCAAGAAAAGTGCTTAACGTTCAACGATTATTTTGAGAAAGACGAGAAATCGGCGTGACGATTGAGTCGTATGGTTCGGCCATATTCTAGCTTTTAGTTAAGTTTTCGTCAAATTTCGCAGGTACTCGGACTAGTATGACATCATTATCTTAAATGATCTCCATTATATACTCGCAGGGTTATCTGAAACTTATTAATCGGAGCCTTTTGCAGGTGTCGTCAAACAAAATTATGACAAACATTGCACGTGTCAGCATGAGGATGAAAAGTGCTCTGCGAGGCGTGCCGCCTTTCTGCGACGCAAATGCAATTAGTGGAAAATGTGGCGACACGTGTAACGTTTTGTCGTTTCCCAATCGGCGAATAACGGGCTGGAAATACGAGGCTAATGCCTGTCATATCCCCATTAACTTGGCGGCTCACGTAGTGTGCCTATAGGTAACGTTTGCTTAGATAAATAGGGCCAGCGAAATCGAGATAAGCCTTTGGCCATTTTGTGATGCTAACTATGATTTCCCGCGAAAAGAACATTCTTGCTTCGGACTGACTCTAAAGTTCATATGGTTTACACACTGCCTGGTGATAGTTATAAAAAAATGCAAAGGGAAAATAAAATTGGCTTAGAAGGGCCAGGAAAGAAACCATATACTTTTGATTTTTTTGGTTTCGCTAGATGGCGCAAGCTACCGCCCGTTATAAAGGCGACAACCGTTAGCGTCCATCTATCCATCCATATACATAATTTTCATCATCGTCATTCGCCGAGCTTCCTCTCTATATATTGCTGCAAGTGGTTCTCCCAGGTGTTTGGCGGGAAAGGAGGTGCTTCAGCTTTTTTAGAGTGTGGGGGTGTAGGGTTCAGGGGTATGAATGGTGACAATCAAGATATAAATCTCGAATCGCAAGGCTACTGTATTGATACGCGCTTTAACGGTGGTTATCACCGAAACAGAAATCGCCGAGTCACTGGACGCAAGCGAGGCTTTGGATATATTCTGCAGAAGGGATACACTGCGCACGCTCGAAACGCATTCCGAAAGGGCGGAGGGCAAAGATGGCGGCGTGCTGAAGGTGATTAGTGGAACGATAGATATAGAGATCAGAAAGAAAGAATGATGGCTACTTTGCCCATTCATTCTTTGCCGAGGGCATTGGAGAGCAGACGATATATTTTGCAGTTTCCAAAACTGGGATATTTCGAATAATTCTGGTTTAAAAGATTAGCGATTATATTTAGTCGTGCCAAATTTCTAAAGGTCTATTTTGCACGCCGACTGCTCTTTTTGACACTCTATAGTTTCTAGAGGTTGGAGTAATGATATTGTGCCGTTAGTAATTTTTTTATACGCTAAATCGTGACCTATCCATTTTAAACGAGTTCAGGACCGCCAAAGCCGTGTCGCAAGTACGCTGAAGACTATGAAGCTCGAAGATGCAGTCATACTGGGCAGGAGTATTTCTGTGCCTCATATGGGCAAGCATGCCTTTTGGCACCAAAGTGGCAGCTTTTGTTTCGCCACAAAGAAAAAGGTCGGTTAGTGTTACTCAAGCCGAACATAAACAAATCTGTTTTCTGAAACAAAACCAAAAAAATAATAATAATAATACAGTACTATTTTGTGTGCAATACAATCTTGTCCGACAGTTTCTGAACAGAAGATGTTGTCGTCCTCAATTTCTGTGTTCAAAATCGAAGATTTAGGTACCCTTCAATTTGAGTTCTTTGTCGCGCTCTACGCGCTTGAGACATGGGATAGTATCTATCCCTCATGCCCAGTGTCTTAAGCAAACATAAAGGAGAACCTATCGTACCTAATCGAGGTAAGATATAATTTATATAAGATGCTTTATATCTTAGTGTTCTGAAATACACCTATATAAAGTGATGCTTGTGGCTGCGGAGACCGATGCCCAATTTCTTAATTCGTCAAAATGTTTCTTCATTTCGCAAACATAAAATACATCTTTTCAGGTTAAACTGTTTCAGGTTAAACAATAACAAAACTTCCGAATCAAGCAACTTTGACAAATTCTCCTTGATGTGCACAGCTGTAATATTATCATCAGCCAAACAGCATGCACATGGGCACAAATGAAGCTACATAAGATACCATTTTTTCAAAGATTATATTATCTTAACACGTTTCATTAATCTTCACCAATGAAATGCAAGTTGTGGCACAGGAAATTCCTCTCCTTATAACTAAAGGCCCGTGCACACACTTGCGCTTGAATACCGTCGCAAGAGGCTCTAAAACCGGTCTTGTCTCAATCGGTCGTAGTCAAACGGAAGTGCGTGAACGGGCCTTTTTACATTCATAGATACAACTTGGGGCAATAATAACGTAGTTCTTAAAAATGGGTAACTGCAAGGGTGAAAGCGTTGCTACTAGAATTGCAACAAGAATGCTATTTTTCTGTTTCCTTAGAAGCTGGTGCATCCGGTGCATCATGTCTGGACAATCGTGTTTGTGTGAGCTATAATTTTTATTTCTAAAATAAAAATGGACTCAGTAATGTTTAATTAACGTCGAGAATGACGAACATTCCACGTGTAATAAACCACAAGGTTAAAGCTATTTGAGACTCCAGGTGGGGTGGCGCCATCTATAAGTGGCATACGTCCTCTTTCTATAGGACACTGAACTCTAAAAGCTCGCCGCCTAGCGGCTACAGCACGCAGTTGAAAAATCGCAATTGTGTAAAGAGTGTTTGGAGCTGTGTATCATTGCACAAAGAAGGCGTGTTTATTTAGGTCATGTGGACCACCCCGGACTTATAGTTCGCGGAATCCATGTAAAAAAAAATTGTTAGGAACACTTTTTTTTAATCTTGCACGTAGCTAGCCGCATGTGGGCTTTGTGCGTTCTGAGACATAAACTAGAAAACCAATCACGGCTGAACCGGCAATCATTTTTCAATTTGACGCATAAGCTGATTCGCCGAGAAGCGAACGCAATCGAAATGACCGAACAAAAAAATGTTTTGCATCTTGGATCACATATCTAAGGGAGCGTATCAGCCTATCATAAGTGACTCAATGTATACTGCAACCGATAAGCACTCAAAACTCCACCGCCTTTTATTAATTGCCGTATCCAATATTACTGGTGAGAGCTAGGTGTCAAGGTCTTTTAAAAAAGCGGCGGACAGGTTTTATTGCCGTCGAAACCGCACGGCCATCGACGCGTGATACCGATTTTGTTTTCGATTGACTAACCTAAAACCATAAACATTAAATCACGGGGGGTCCGAGGTCATTTCGTTGCATCGAAGAAGCAGGGACTTACGAGAGTCTAATACAATGGGGAAACTTTGAACTTTAGTTAAGTGCTTTGCTTGGGGAACATTAACATATACATCTGGCTTGTTGGCATCATAATGCGAGCTCGCGGAAGAATTTAAGATTTCAGCGATAAAGTCGTTGTTGAAAAAAAATACATTGAGGCGCTTGATCTCTTGTGAGAGGCGCAGAAAGCGAGATAGAATATTTTAGTATATGAGCCCTAAATTTAATGTTGAGCGTTACCACGCTCTCTAGAGAGTGGAATATACAAATCTTACAAAGAGTTGCGCGATACACCGCCGCTTTCGCTGTGCGTTCTGGTATATACCTGTTGTTCTTCCTAGTTTTCCGGCCGCGTCAGTGCGCGTTGTGTACGCCCGGCGTTTCGGAAATTTGCGGGTTGGCACGAGACTTTTAATCGGGTGTTCACTCACGGTTTACACTGAGCGTGGCTTCACCTGTTGTGTGCCAGGGTGCTACAATAAAAACAGCAAGCAAAAAAAAAACAAAAAAAACCCGGATTTTATGTTTTCCCGAAAGAAAGCAGCCCCCAAAAAGAGTGGCTAAGCAAGGTACTCTGAGCCAAACAAGCGGCCGAAAAAAAAAAGAAAAAAAGGTTTTTGATTTGTTTACCGATTTGCTTCATAATTTATATCCACCTCATTGCACTTTAGGTAAAAAGTGTAGCGTTAGGGCACGATGCATAGTAGAAGGGGCCGAAGTTTTCTGCACCTTGGAAGCTTTTTGAGAACTCGCTTTGTAGTGGTCCATCCGTTGGTCTATCTCAATCGGGACCTACGCACCGCTTTGCGGCGGCCGTTTTTCATGCACTTTTTGCTGCATATGTTTTGGTGGTTATAACTTACTGCGACGAAATATTTCAAGCACAACTGTGTTTCAAACAATCAAAACAATCACACTCACACAAAAAAAAAAGAGCAGCGATTCTCGATATGCATTGCTTGAAATAAAATACCTATTTCAAAAGCAGTCTTCTTTTTTTTTTTTTTTTTTTTTTCGAGCAAAACGTTGAAACACCGCATAATGCAATTTAGAAGCCCAACATTTACCACCAAAAAAGCAGTAAAAGAACCTCACACACCCTGTAGTGTTGATGTACTTGATTTTGGCTGGTGTGCTAATCCATTAAAACACCAGTTGAGACCGCAGAAAAAAGCTTCCACCTCCGGGCGTCTGTTAGCGTTCGGAGCTCAAGCAAACAAAAGAAAACGAAATAGAAACTGGCATGGTTTCTTTATTTTATTGACAGATGCGGTTTGGTAGGGCGCGTCGGGCATGGTCTTTCTGCAGATTGTTTCTTCTTTGAGCGCAGGCTTCTCCCCGCAGTTCGTCGGTACCCTGTCGCAAGGCTGTTAACGAGAATGAAACACTTAAAAACTCTA